AGACAGTCCCTTAGATTCGCAAAAATCTCTCTCTTTCCCGATTCTAAAAAAAAAAGGAAAGAAGAGAACTACTTTTCCCTCTTTAAACAAAAAAAGAAAAGACAGTTTTTAAATTCTTAAAAATTCCTAAAACAAAAAGAGAGAGAAAGAGAGTGAGATTTCTTAGAAAAACAAAATTACAAAATTACTTTTCCACCTTCTCTCCGCAAAATTTAAAAAAAAAAAAGGAAAGAAGAAAATTACTCTACCCTCTCTAAACAGAGAAAGAAAAGACAGTCCTAAGATTTGCAAAAATTCCTAAAAAAAGAGAGAGATTTCTTAAAAAGACAAAATTGCAAAATTACTTTTCCACTCTTTCTCCGCAAAATCTAAAAAAAAGAAGGAAAGAAGAGAATTACTTTTCCCTCTCTAAACAAAGGAAGAAAAGACAGTCCTTAGATTCGCAGAAATTTCTAAAAAAAGAGAGAGAGAGAGAGTGTGTGTGAGATTTCTTAAAAAAGACAAAATTGCACAATTACTTTTCCACCCTCTCTCCGCCGGTTCTAAAAGAGGAAAGGAAAAGAAAGAAGAACGAGACGAGAAGAAAGGCAATGAAAAGAACAGGGAATTAGTCGTAAGGAATAAAGGTTCTCCTGGCGCCTGGTCTATGAAAGGTGATAACCACCTCTTTTCAGAAGAGACGCGGCGCGGTCGACGCCTGAGAGGCGAGCAGCGATTCCTTGGTCGACGAAGGACAGAATCGAATCGATCCGAGTTTATTGTGTTCTGGCGTGGTATTGTGCTTCAGGAACAATCGCGGACACACCGTGAAGACGACCGTGATGGAACTAATTGACGACCGTAATTGAGGATTCGCGACGTTGGTCGGAGGGGGCGTCGTCGCGTCGCGGCTGTTGCTTTTCGTTTCGTTTCGTTTCGTTTCGTTTCGCACCATCTACGAAACACGGCTGTCTCTCATTGTCGGACGTCGTCCAACAATGTGAAAAAAATCGAACGTTCAGAGTGGCGATTCTGACTGGCTAGGTTTCGAAGAATGAAGGAATCCGTGCGTGAAGTGTTTTTCGTGCCAGTGTACCAATTTTCAATTCTGACGCAGAACGCCAACACCTTCGCTGTGTTTTCAACGTTCTTTCCTTTCTTTCGACAAATTTTCTTCACGTTTTTTTTTTTTTTTTTTTTTCTTAGATGGACAAATTCAACCGGCGAACAATTGTTCTACGTTCTACTACCAGGTAAAAATCAAACGGTTAGCTTAGGTTAGATTAATCGGATGTTAGACTCAATATCTTTCATATCTTGAAATTTGTATTTAAAGGAACGCGTAAACTATATACACTCTCTCGCAGATCAAACGAACGTCCCTGTATTTCTAGTTAACACCGAGTTGTGAGACTAAAGTAAATTGAAAGTTTCAACTGAAAGTTGCCGAAGCTCCGTCAGAATTTTAGAAACTGACGCGCACGGAGTTTGACGATTTTTGGAAATCGATAAAGTTGGACGATCAGAGAAAAAAATGTGAGACGGTTCTGCGCTTTGCGGATTCTCGCGAAGGACGAAACAAAGACGATAGACAAAGCAAAAGGCGCAGGTGAAAGGTGAAGAAAGGAAGAGAAAAGGGAGAAAGATCCGGGCAACTTCGCGAAAATGGGGAGAAGGGAAGGGATCGGTCGACGAAATTAGAAAAGAAGGCCAACCAAGGAAACGGACGGCATGAAGTTTTTCCCGGTGGAGAAGAAATTAAAAGCAAAGAGACGGAGGAGAACGATGGTGAAAAACAAGGCGAGATCAAAGGAGACGAGGGAGAAAGAAGGGTGTTGGGAGATTACACGTTTTAATTGCTGGAGAACTAATAGGTCATGGCAGGGTAGAACTAATTAGCGAGAAATCTCGGCTCAAAGGGACATATTTACTGGGGAAAAAAAAAAAAAAAAAAAGAAAAATACCAGTTCCGCGTGTTTACTGAGAATTCTACCTTCATTACCGCGTTTCTCAGCTTCCTACGCGCGTATCTTCTCATCCCCCTGGATTATTTTCTCAGTAGTTTACCTTTTTCCTCCCTTCTTTCTTCCCATAAAATGAGAAAAACACGAAAAGTTAACTATTTTGCACTCTCGACCAACGTTTCGGCTGATTATCTCGAAGTTTGATCCCCTTGCGCTGGCAACTGCGTTCGCGGACCATAACGAGTGACCGAATACGATAATTCGTCGCTTTCTGTTTCTTTTGAACTCAAAAGGTCGGTGATGATATCGCTGGATCGAAATTATTATGAAGTAATAGACTTGTCATTTGTTTTGCCTAAATGTACTTAAAACTGTGAAAATGTTGCAATTTGGGACAAAAAAACTTCTCGACGTGCGTGGCACGTCATTCCAGCGCAAGAGGTTAAAGAATTGGAAAAACTGAGAGATAAGAGTCGGAAGATCTGAGATCTTGCGTGTGCTAATTTTTGATCTTGATACATTCGCGTTCCTACGTACGCTTTTCGGTTTTCAGAGGTAGTATCAACCAAAACTAGGGAGACAGAGAGAAAACAAGAGAAAGGAGAGGGAAAAGAGAGAAGCTCGAACGCGTCGCATTAAAACGGAGAAACGCGTCAGCAGGGAGGCCTCGACGCTTCGAGGTCTCATTTTTCTAGCTGGTCGAGGGTTTAAGGCCTGTCCACACGAGCGGAATCGATCTAGCTATACCCTTATTGGATCAGACGAAACGAACCACTCGACCGTGCATCCGTCGCGTCGCACGCGGCGCTAACTTGCTCGTACCACGAATATACAGGGTGGTAGAAACGTGTCACAATCGCAATTACGATACGTGCGATGTTTACAATGATTACAAGGTTCCGAGGCTTATTTTCCAAGTTATTTTCAGGGTAGAGACACAACGAAGGAATAAATAACGAAGAAATTTTCTTTTCTTCCCAACACCAACACCGAGGTTGTAAAAACCTGACTGATGCATAAATTTTTAATTAGAATTACGAATTATTCGTTAAACAAATCTTTCTTTCTTTCCATTTTTAGAAAAAATTCGACCTCTATTGAAATTTGTTTCTATGTACATGTATGCAGTTTCTCAAAAGTTCAAATAATCTAACTTGTCTTTTTGTATATTATATATTATACCACAATCACGTTGCCTGCAAGCAAATTTAGAAATTTCGTTAATATCGTAACGAGGAATGAGTATTACGATTATAAAATTTCTCGACTAACATCTTAGAGATTTTATGAGTGTATTAGTTCGTAGAGACGATAAATTGTAATACAAAATATAAATACAAAATTTAAATACAATATTGAAGTTTACAGCTATTTACCCTACGAAACTTATACATATATACAATTTTTAATATTTAATATTTATGTACAATATATATATATTTATTTATTTATTATATTTATATTTATATAAATTTAATATTATTATATTATATTTATATATATATATATTTTATTAAATTTCTCTCTGCACACGCTAACCACCAACGACGAAACACTACTGTTGTAAAAATCGTACGAAAATTGAAACCCATTTGTTCATAAAAATCATTATAAAAATCTCACTAACGATTAGATCACCGTTATAAAAATCTTACGAAAATTGAAATCAACTGGCTTCGAATATTCTGCAACATCCTTAACATTCGAATTTACATGTACGAGAAAAAAAAAAAAACGCGAACGAAGTCGCAGGTGCTTCGTTACGTTCACGGTGCTCGCGATCATGCTCGCGTGAACGCACGCCGAAGCCGTGGAATTGGTCTCGCTCGTGAGTAACCGTGTCAAGTGCCTTTCACGTTTTTTCTCCTTTCACCTCCGCACGTGTCGCGACATAATGCGTCCTTTCCTGCAACCGCGATCCTTCAAACTTCTCCATTTTCTCTCTTTCCCCCAATCCCTTTTATTTCTTCGGTCGAAATAAATTCGATTTGTTAGTGATATATTAAATTCGATTATATATAATCGAATATATATATGAAATTATATTGTATATACATTTGAAATATATATTAAATTATATTAAAATGTATTGTATATATATTCAAAGTATATATTAAATTATATTGTATATATATTTGAAATATATATTAAAATATATTGCATATATATTCGAAATATATATTAAATTATATTAAATTGTATTGTATATATATTCAAAATATATATTAAATTATATTAAATTGTATTGTATATATATTCGAAATATATATCAAATTATATTGTATATATATTCGAAATATATACTAAATTATATTTTATATATATATATTCGAAATATATATTAAATTATATTGTATATAATTCGAAATATATATTAAATTATATTGTATATGTATTCGAAATATATATTAAATTATATTGTATATATATTCGAAATATATATTAAATTATATAAAATTATATTGTATATATATTTAAAGTATATATTAAATTATATAAAATTATATTGTATATATATTCAAAGTATATATTAAATTATATTGTATATATATTTGAAATATATGTTAAATTATATTGCATATATATCCGAAATATATATTAAATTATATTGTGTATGTATTCGAAATATATATTAAATTATATTAATTATATTAAATTATATTAAATTGCATTGTATATATTTTCGAAATATGTATTAAATTATATTAATTATATTAAATTATATTAAATTGCATTGTATATATTTTCGAAATATGTATTAAATTATATTGTATATATATTCAAAATATATATTAAATTCGATACACACGATTTCGCGGTGTTGGTAAAAAAGAAAAGAAAAGAAAAGGAAAAAAGAAAAGAAAAAAGAAAAGTGAGTAAAAAAAGGTGACTCACCGGTGACTGGAGCTTCAATATCGATCATGGTCTTCTCCGAGCGAAGGAGAGCGGCCCCATCGGTGACTATGCGAAGGGCCGCTGCCTCGTCGATCCTACCTTCGAGGATGAAGTGTTGCTTGAGGACTTCCGGCCGCGGCCGGTCTGTCCGCGCGTCGAACACCTCTGCCACTGTCAATTTGTGCGACGGCGGAAAGAGCACATCTGTCAACAGAGAAAGAATTTTCGTTAGAACAGAGTTTCGTTAATTCGGTCAATTCATTTAATTCAATCGAATTTCTCTCGAGTCACGGATAAAAATACTTGGAGAACGAAGGAAAAAAGGGGCGTAACATGAATTATTCCGCTTGATGACCAATAAAGTTTAATTACAGTGAATTGTTTGTCCCCTGGGCGAGTTCTGAATGTATGTTTCGTTTGTATTTTCATCGTGTATTGCATTTTCATATCGTTTACACGTTGACTCCCACGTGTATTTTTTCGACAATGAAAAATTATTTTCGTGATCGAGGGCAACCAAGTTAAACAACTGTCTTCTGTTACGATTTGAGGAAAATCAAATAAAACGCAAAGTATCGAAGTCTTTAGGAATCCCTTTTCATCTCGATACAGTTTTCAGAAAAACGGGCGTTTCCAATTGTACTCGAATATTTCATTAACTCTTCAATTGATCCTGAACAATGTCTCGAAGGATATTTTATAATACGACCAAACTATCTGAGATCTATCGTCCGATAGAAGAAAAATCAGAGGAACACTGTGACGAACCTGAGTAAAATTCCAATACAGCTTCGACGTGTTCTTCGACGAAAGAGAGAGAGAGAGAGAGAGAAAAAGAAATTTACATTACAGAAAACGTTTTATAATTAAATGCTGCACGATTTTTACAAATTCCATTCTCCCTCCCGTGGAAACTATTTTTGTTTCTTCTTTTTTAGTTGCACCTCAGACATGATTGCCTCGTTTTTCCTCAATCGCTATCATTGTTCAATCGATCGACATTCAACAATGTTTGATCATCGTTGCTTAATGTCGAAATTATTTTAAATTCAACGAGAAACACGTAAAAAAAAGAAGTCAATCGTCCTCGAAATTGAAATTGCATAGAACAACGCGAATTTTTCTCAAACGTATGTCGAAATAAAAGACATTTCTGATTATAGATGGCTCGTACGATAGAAAGTTATAGGAGAGAGAAAAAGAGATTAAGTTTTAAGTTTTGTAATCTGTTGCGGAACGTTCGTTTGGGAGATTTTCTTTCCTTTCCCTCTCCGATCCCCGAGAAATTGTGTCAGATGCACGGTTACGATAAGCCAGTATAATTTCTGGAATGGATCCCGGCTGGTGCGCTGGTTTGACTTGGCGATACGAACGTGACTTCTTCGCTGATCTCGGGATTCCGGATTTTACCAGGTTTCCCCTTGTTTCAGGCACATGTGCGCGTGTGCGAGAGAAAGAGATCGTGTATGGTCTGTTTCGGGAAGAAAAGACGAACGGTTCGGAAAATTGGCTGGTGATAATGATCGTATCGATATTGAATATCGTTTCGATTGAATTTTCGCGAAAGAATTCAAGGATTATCTATCGGAAAGTAACGCGTGTAAGTAACAACGTGAGGCACAATCGTAAATTATGGTCGTGGAAAATAAGGAAATATGTTATTCCTGTATTTTTTGATGGATAATTTATCAAAATAAGTAAAACACTTCGCCTGATAATTAAATTAATTAAACGTATCGTGGAATATAAAGCTTACACACTGTCAGTAGAAATCGGACAAAATACTCGTGAAACAACTTATAAATAGTATAATACGTGATTAACTATGTATCATTAAAATCACAGTGCCTCAAGAGTCTTTAAATTATTATTGAAAGTCTAGCAAAGTATTCGTGGTAATATTTACGAAGTAACTTGTAGACGTTGTAATTAACTATTCAGCATGAAATGCATCAGAACATAACATTACTATTAGAAATCCAATAAAAATATGCTAGCGTCCGTCGTAATCGTTAATGTTACAAAATATAAAATTACCAGAAATCTAACTAAAATATCCCGTAGAATAGTAATATTTAGACAGAGCAACAAATGGACAGTGTATAATACGTTGCAATTGACATAAAACTGGTTCATTATTGCCACATAGTAATCCAACGCAAATATATAATACAGAACAATTACCTGATACGTGGTACAATATATCGCCAGAGATCTAAGAAAAAAAAATATCCGCAGTAATATTATACACTGTGCTACAGTTTCATAAAATGTATAATTCTAAATAACGAAATATTCATATTTACGGAGCGCAACGCGCTACAGACTGTGTCTGCGTGTGTACGTGGTAATTAACTATTGATAAATATTGATCGAGTCACAGATTATCTGGCTAGATCAACCTGTTATCTCCCCAATTAATGCCTCCGGTACGTTTCGTTCGCGGCCTCTCTTTTCTTCGAGGATGATTTATAGGCGAGGTTGGCTTATCGTCGAGCCATTGTAAATTGCTGTTTGCCAGTCGACGAGGAAAGACAAACCGCGGTTGCAGCCAGCCCGTAATCCCACTTTCCTATCCGTACAATCGCGCGCGGTTTCATCGAGATAAATCGATCCGCCGTTCGTTTTCTCTTTACGAGACAATTGTCGTGACAAGGCCATCGACAATTTTTAATGGACATGGTCGAACCTCAGGTTCGACAAACCTCCCCCCGCTGCTTCTCTCTTTCTAATGCAACTCACATATAGCAAAATGTGCATAATATCGAGCAAACGTTAAAGCTCTTGCTAAGAAGAAATTTGGCTTCGGTTACGTGGAACATTTGATTACAGGACTTTGGAAAATTCGACGGCTGATTCGGGATTTTTTCTTGGGAAGATATCTCTTATTTGGGATATTCTGATTAGCCTCGGTGAAAAGTCTTGGCGAGATTTTAAAGAAGAGCTGGCTAACTGGCGGCCCCTGCCCCCACTTTTCCTAGCGCTATCCCCTCCACTGCGCTGAGAGCGTTGCGATCGCAACACTCGCGTTAGGTATACGTGTGCATATGCATACATTGTTTTCTTTACTGAAAAAGTTAAAGAAGGTAATTTTAATGAACCAACAGACTGAGATTTAAAGTAAAAGAAACACTGTTATTCCATTTCGATGGGAGAATAATTAATTTTGTGAAATTTGCCTCGAAATCAGGGCTTCCAAAGTGACGACTCGTTCTAAGACTTTTAAAACTCACTTCCAAAACTCTAAATTCTAAATTTTCTAGAGTAAATTACTCGACGAATTCACTGTTTGCCCGCTATTTGCCCATCAAATTGGATTACACCGTCGATAGAAGCCATCTAAAGCGGGCGAAGAATTTGTCGCCTTAATCAACTTTTCGGCTGAAAAGTCATGCAACTTTGTGATACGCATGCAACGATTTCAAAGATTCGCAGAAAATTTTGACAATTATAAATAAAGACGAGGGGGTCACTGATGTCCCAGATAATTCATCGATCATCCAAGAAGATCGCTTCGTGAAACTTTCTTCAGAGAGAGATCGTTCACGATCGTCGTGCACGCGGATTACCTGGTCTCTTGAACTTCGGTAGCTCGATCTTCCTCTTCGTGAACTTCAACTTGAGCGTTCCGTTTGTTTCGCCATTTTCCTTCGTATTGTCAGGATTGTTTGCCGACGAAGACATTTCTTCCTTCACTTCCTTCACCTCCGCCAACCCAATTTTCGAACCATCCAAACTTGCCTTGGGCGAGGTAGTCGGCGATCGCTTGAGCGAGAACATCCTCTCTCGGCGTTCCATCTTCTTCAAAAATGACCCGAAACCGCCGATGTCGGACGACGACGACGACGACGACAAATCCAAATCGCCTTCGGACAAGTTTTGTTGAGACATACCGGCGGATGAAGACTTTAGGCTGCCCGCTAGGTAGGACTCATCCGAGCCGCTGCCCGAGTAAAAGATGGTCATCTCCTTCGAGCCTTCTGGTGACTTCATGGACAGAAAAAACACCGAGTCGTCGGGATTCTCCGCGGCCTGGGTCACGTTCGACTCCTCCGAGCTATTCGTCGTTGCCAAACACAAGTCTCTTTCCTTCGTTTCTTCCTCCGATTTTGGTTCCGTTGATTCTTTCTGCGTTGACTCTTTGTAGGAGCTGGGCGAGTTGTTCTTCTCGGACAGCATCGAGCTCGTAGAATCGGACGGGACGATGGCCGAGGAGTCCGACAACTTACGCAATATGTAACGCAACTCGCTCGACGAGCTCGTAGAGTCGAGCAATTGTATCGAGTAATCGTCATCCGTCTCGCATGTATCATCTCGTTTCTCCAACCCGGTCGACAACGATTTAGCTCTGTCCAGCCTTTTGATGTAACCGTCGGATAGCAGGTCGTCGTCGACGAAGGAGATGTCCGATTCGGAGCAGCTTCTCTTCACCAAATTTTTCGTACCGGAGCTCGCAGAATAGCTGTTCTTCTTCTTTTTCTTCTTCTTCTCGTACGAATTGCTCCATTTCTTCCTCGAGGACGCGTCGTCGTCGTCGTCTCTGCGTCGTTCTTGTTCTCCAAGAACGCCTGATGCTTGATCCACAACGTCCTTTTCTTCGTCCTTGGAGCGAAATTCTTCTTCCTCCGTAGTCTCGACGAAGGAACCGCCAGTCTCTCTATTTTCAGCTTGATCCAACTCTTCAATCTCGCGTTGCTTCTCTTCGATCTTTTCCATTTCGTCGACTGTGAGAATGGAGGAAAAACTGGCGGGTGATTCAAACTCAAGAAGCTGCGATGACGGCGTAAGAATCACGACAATACCGGCATGCGCCAAGTACGTTTCGAAAATCGTCTCCTTCTGCTTGGCGGCGATAATGTCGCCAAAATGGATGTGTATAGCATTATAGAGCCTGGTGAGTAAGTTCGTGAGTACGATGTCTTCAGTGGCGTCATCCTCGATCACAGACGTCTTGTTCTTCAACATTAGAAGCTCCGTGAACACCGTGACAATCTCGATCAAACTGTTGTAGATGATCGACTCGGTACTGTCGATCTTCGATTCGGTACTCTCGATCTTCGACTCGGACTTGGAGGTGTCGCTCTCGCGACTAGTGGAGATCTCGAGGCTTTCACTGCCAGCGTCGCGATCGACCATCCGCTGAATTCTATCCTCGTGACGACGATTATACTCGTCCGCCAGTAAAATCTCCAGCGTCTCGTCGT